TATATATATCCTAGCTATATATACATATCCTTTAAAATCTACAACTATACAATATTTTCACCCTGGAAGAACATACACCTAGATTGTCGTTAGCAGAGCCAGTCCAGATGACAAAAGGCTATACTTAAATCACGTAATAAATTTATTAAGAATATAAATTGAGACCAACGTAACAAAACTTGGATGTATAATGAAAAAAATATTATATTTTCTTTATCATGTAATATTATCGTAAACATGAATATAAAAAAAAATATGTATATTCATAATTGAAAATAAAATTAGAGTTTCATTTTTTCCCTTCGAGATTCAATAATAACAAATAAAATAAACTTTAAATAAATATCAAACCTGAGTAATATCTGAAACCAGCTCTGATTATTGATAAATAAAGAACTACTTAAAATAAAATATATGTAAATATTGCAATGAGCAATCTTATGTACTCACACGTATAAAAAATTATATAGTCAACCTAATTACCAAGTCGCTACTGATACAAAATGTTGAGACACTGGTTCAAAGTATGCAGAGTTGTGTGCGCTGTAGCTTTGAGGACCAAGAGATCAGGATCCAGATGTAGATCCAAGTTCTCAATGGACTGTGCCAAGGCAAGATTATGTTTCTCCACTTTCCTCAATTGTTCCTGGCAATTGGCGAAAGCATCCAACACTTCTAATTTAACAACAGGATTCCTACTCGTATTCCCAGAGTGTTCTCGAGGAGGTAATGGAGGATGACTGCTGGCTATGGCTCTAGTGTACATCTCTGTAACAGCTCGCAACTTGTCCACCCATTCCTGACGAGCTCGCGCATCTGTGGCCCTCAGCTTGATCATGTCACCTTAAAAATATCAAGAAACCAAATTATATATATTATTTATATATGTAGAGAAAAGGATATTATAGTATCTCATTTATATTTTGTACAATAACTTTGTCAATTAAGTTAATTAATATTTTTAATTGAGGACTGCTATTCTATCATTTAACTTTGCATAACTCGAAATGTATACAGAAAACGAAATGTTAAGTAATGAACAAAACATTTAAATATACATATATTTATACGATCATATGTTCAAATTTAAGAAGAATGAGAAAATATGTTTAATTAAATGCTAAAATGTATCTTGAAAACGTTCTTAAATGCTCAAAAATAAAAGTATATTATAACAAATGCTTGTTATTGTGAATCGGCATATTAGCGCCGCTATATAACAGTATACTATTATTAATTAAATTAATTAATTAAATAATTTCAAAATTAATCATTAGAATTTGCTATCTAGCAGTAGAAATGTTAAGAAGGGCTTAATATCTTACAAAGGCTATATAATACCACCTTCTCCTCTATTATTTATATCCATATGATATATATATATATATATATAAAAGATCTTTACCTGTAGCAGAATTAACTGTAAATGTGTTGGAATCCTCGTCGCTGGGAGCTATCACTGCCCCCGCCAGATATATCGAACACCGGGGCCTCTGATTCTTCTCGGATTCGCTGAGGAAGTAGTGCAGCTCGCCGGTCTCAGGGCTTAGGATGAACCATCGGTATTGCCAGCCTTTCATAGCATTTGTATACTTGTGCAGCAGACCCTCGTAAGGATGTCTCGTTTGTACGTTCATCGTTTGTCACTTTGCTTGTCCTCTTGGAAGCCTTTTACTCTTCGAACGAAGTGTCCGAAGATCCTTCGGATGATATGTCATCTGAACTAGCGTGATCGTATGCACAACGTTCAGGAAGGTTAGGTGTGATATGTTGGTTTCGGATAGGTTAGATTATACGTCAATAATATTCTAATTCGATACTATTAGATTTTATCACTAAACATTACCTCATTGAACTCGCTCTGGAACTTGTTCCGTTTAAATTTTTCCCTCCCAATAATGTAATTTAACATCAGATCGAAAAAATATTACTTGTCAATAGAGTCTACACAGTCCACTGTTTAGATATATCAGACGTACTCCTTTAAAGTAAACACAGATTTGTTTAATTTATTGTTGAGTTATCTGTTTCATTTGATAATAAAAGTAGCACTGATGGAAAATAACGATCCCCTGATCTATCGTTGGTCCGTACTACTTCTATGAAAGTCCGACTGATTTGCATCGAGTCATCCTACGACCTTGATTTAATAGCAGAAACGATTTTCGATTCGCTGACGCAACTCGACTCGGACAGCGTTCCGATCATCCTTGTAGTACTGCAATCTATAATTCATGTTACATATGCTACAGTCGTAATATTTTATCGAATACCGGAATATCGGGGTCAATTATGTATCTCAAAACGAAGTAAAAATGATAAAAAGTGAGTAAATTCATGAAATGTCGGCCAATAAAATTATAAATTTTCTAGTAAATTCATTCACTTTTGTAATCTTCACTTCGTTTTGAGATATCGATCCCCTGCTTTAGTCGGGTTGAGTCAACAAATCGAAAACGCCAACAGAATGGCCGCACTTAGCGGAAAGCAACAGCTCAGAGAGTTAGTGATTATTGTCTGTAATTGGAGCATTCTTTTAGATTCTTAGTAGATCCGGGAGTATAGACCAATCAGAAGCGATAATCAGTAAGCACTTTCTGAACTGCTTTTTCCGTTGAATGTGGCAAATACCTACCGTTTAAGCGTTGGTCCATAATAGGTATATTACGCCTTAAACCTTAAGAAATTGACCAATTATAGTTAATAATTCTTTTCACATTCGACTGTGATTGGTTAATTTCTTAAGACTTAAAATACCTACTGTGGACCGACATTAAAGCGTGGTCTACAATAGATGATTAAACTCTAAGCCTTAAGAAATTGATCAATCACAATCGATTATTCTCCGCATATTCGACTGTGATTGATCAATTTCTTAAGATTTAGAGCTTAAAACATCTATCTTAGACCGGAAGTGACATAGAGATTTACCTTCATATAAAATTTGATATGATCATGTACCAACTAAATTTGAATTAAAAAATTTTACGTCAGATTTTATATAACTTCATGAAGAAACAAAATATTCATGTGTATTTAAGATTTAAAAAATAAAAATATTATTAACGTCTGTACACGGAGTATATAATGGTAGATGTAATTGTACAAAAAGTGAGCTACATTGCATAATACAAATAATAAATTTGTATATAAGTTATATTTATCTATTATATACACATACAAGATATCTCGTAATTCGTGATACTGTAAAATGGTAATCTCTCATTAGGAAAATAAGTCCCAAATATAGAATAGGTTAAAAGTTTTTCGCATCGTTTTCGACGAACTTGGTCCGTCAACTTTTAACGAACGATATTACAAGCGTCACTGACGATTATACAAGCCTAAAAAAACTATGGTCAACTATGGTCAACTTTCTGAATGACAGAAATCAATTCTTCAATATATACGAGATATCTTGTATATCAATAACATGCAGTTTAACTTTAAGGTGACGTCCGTGTCTTCCTTTTCCTCAAGTATTTATAGGTGTCCTTTGACAACAAATAACTGACACCCCCTGCGATTGTTGTAAGTGCTGTCAAGTAGCACAGACCTTGTAATATCGGGTGGTCTACAAAATGGAAAATTGGAGCAGCCAGTGTGCCAGCAACCAGGGTCAATTGCATTCCTGTGTTCAGCTTGCTTATTAATGTTGGCGCTAATTGCACAGTGGCGTGTGTAGGGTCAAAGTACCTTGCTAATGTTTTCTGAAATCATTATATTCATATGAAATGCAATCCTTAATATATTAATGCATATGTATATGTACAAAGGAATTGATAGAAACATAAGTGCTTACCGGTGGAGGTAAGGAACGATATCTGATATACGACGCAGCAGTTACCAGAGCAACATCACGCACGACCACAAGGCAAGTGAGCGGTATTGGTATTAAACCGACCCACGCCAGAGAAAGGAACAATGTCCCAACGAGTAACTTATCCGCAACAGGATCCAGAAAGCTGCCAAGTTTGGAAGCTTGCGACGTCCAAGTACGCGCGATCCATCCATCAGCTAGATCACTGACTCCTGCGAATGCAAGCAGGCACAACGCTATCTGTGCCACAGTAGACATTATAGGAACATTTCTTACATAATCTATTGCCGAACAACGGTCACAGCACATAATTGTAACAATGAAGTGTATTGGTGTTATATTTTCATGCTATACTGTCAAGGTTCTCTCATCAAACTATAAAATTATATCCAGCGTTGCCATCCAATCACAGAAACAAAAAAGTGAATTAGTAACTGCTTCTTGGCGGAAAAAGTGATAAAAAGTGATCTTTCCTTTCTAGGTTTATTTTTGGATAACTCGACATGTAGCAAGTTCTTTTCATAGTTTGGTTTGAAAATTCACAATAAGGAAAGACCAGAGATATGAATAATATAAGTACACTTTTGGAGTAGTTTTATTAAGAAAAAAAAAAAAATATATATATATATATATATATATATATATAATGCTCATATTTCACAAAATGGCAGCTCAAGAAAAAAGTGATTATATAATGGCTATTTTGAATGATAGTGAGTTTTTTAGTATCTTGTTAAAAAAAAATGACAAAAGGTGAGTTAAATGGCTGGATGGTAGCGCTGATCATACCTGATAATCGTGTGACAGGATCAAATAACTTAAGAATGGCGATGTCACAATCCGACCCATGCATAGCAGATTTGGCACAGTCCAGATATTTTCCCTTTCGATGATCTCTTCCACCTTCTTCCTTGTTTGTTTGAGATCTTGCAATAAACGCGTTCGCAATGTCTTCCTATGAATACACCGTTCTTTCGCACCAACATAATGTTTAAAACGATTCTCGGTTGCTACGACATAAAGTCTGGTTTGACACGTCCGATATTGCCTCAAACATTGCCTCAAACATTGCTCTATCAAGCGTCTGTTTAGAGTTGAGCATTGTCTAAACAGGAGCGTAGTAAAGTAGCTCATAATTATTCGCTCCAATATCCTAAAGAAGAAAACAGAAATTTTATCAGACATTTGTGTGGCTAAATCTAATTAATGTGACTTTTAACAAATGCATTGTTCGGAAATTCGCAGAAAGTGGACACGTTATTTTCCGTGAGGTTTCTCGACTTGATTTTTTTCACTCAAGCAAAAATACCAAACACCGATAGTCTTAGAAACCGCAGTTGAACCGTCACTTCCAGTTGATTTTGCTACAACGAAACTCCAATTTGAGCCATAAATTGATCTCTCTTAGTCATCACCTGAAAATACCGTAGAAATCCTATTGAATGAAATACAAAGATTTTCGGCCGAGATAAAAATGACAATGATCGCTGACCGCTCTAAATCGCACGCGAAAAATAATACCGACGTGCGTTCTCGCTGCGATTTCTGAGACATTCTCGCGTGTAAATCGCGCCGCGCGAGACGACTCTCTCGAACATAATTTATATTTTACGCCACATACAAAATGAGCATGTGTATCCTCTAAGCATGCCTCGAGATTGGGGCTCCCATTTTTTAGGTTAAACTTCGGAGCGCGCAAACAGAATACTCGGGATTTCCCTCCGCCACTGTCTTCCCCCACCCCACCCCCTCTTCCGAAACTTGAATGAACACACGACGCGTCGCAATTGCGCGTGGTGGTGGGGAGGCTCCGAGGTATCGATACGAGATACTTGTGTGCAAAAGTAGCGGGGTGGCGAGCCGCGTAATACAATATCGGAGTTAGGGGATGTATCGCGAGTAGGAACTAAGAGGGGGGAGTGAGGGAGGCGGGAGAGCTGCTTATTTGCAGCATATGCGATGAATATTAATTTCTCGCTGAATATTGACATTCGTTCGGCGAATCTACCGTTGATTCTCGCTGCGGGCTGTTCGAACGTCCTGTTATTGCGAATCGATCGGATGGCTCGCTATTCGATATTCTATTACTCTTTTAACTTGTTCTCTAATGAGAGATTTGCAGTACGAATTACAAGATATCTTGTAATTTATGTGCAATTCAATAATTAATAACTCGAAATTTTGCGTGTTGTTTGCAAAATGGTATAGTTTTCTTTTCCTCGCCTCAATCCATTCTACCCCCTCAAGAAGTTTGTCCACGTTGACCTGGGACACCTTGTGCGTAAGAGTATTATTTATTCTCCGAAGTCTTGCGAAATCTGACTCATTTATTTGATTTTGCTGAAATTTACTTAGTTGATTCGCCATATCCGACTTAACACGAAGGTAGATTTCTTTATATTAGAAAGTAAATTCATCAGATATCTCTCGCACGTTCGGAAGGCTCGACAGTTCGAACGATTCGATCACACGACTCCGTGTGTTCCCCGGGTGAGCTGAAATCCGCTCCTCCGCCGTATCGCTCTCTCTCCCTTCCTCTAATTGCGCCCCTGCCGCCGCACAGTCTCTGCGCCTGACGGCGGGCAACGCGAGGCGCGCGTGGCCGTTCCGCTGGAGGGCGCAGTGCGCAGCCGCGTATGTCGAGTCTCGGTGCAGCAGGCGCACGCACCTCGTCGTCGCGTCCGAGCAACAGAGTGCTGTGTATACACCCCCGCCCACGTATTATTTTGTGCGGTCAGCCCGAAGTCAGCCAGCCAGCCACGCTTCCTCCGATCTCGCGAGCGGACGGGGAACCGCCTGGCCTAGGGACCGCCGGGGCGGATGATGCATTCGTTATTTCACGAGGGGCAACCACGGGCCGCGCCACCGTGCCACGTAAGGAAGCTTTAATGTGACATCGCGGACGAGCATGATTCTGGCTGGATCAGACCACTTCCTAGCGGGTAAGTCCACTATTCAGCCGGGTCTATGTCACCCCGACGACGATCCCCGAGACCCAGGACACCTACCGGGTGTCCCTGCGAAGAGAGAGAGCGAAGATACCATCGCGAATAGCAGCGACCAAGCGCGTCCCGTAGAGAAAATGAGAAAATAAATCGCGCGGCGGAAATCGAGCCCGTCTCTCGAGCCCCGTCGACTTCGATTCCGCCCGTCGTCGTTCCGTTAGGACGCGTCCTGGCTGCCGGGAATCATCAGTCGTCGAGCCTCGTATCGGCCGATTTGACTGTTCGGCATCGATTTTCACGGGATTCGAGCGGATCTCTCGGAGAGCCTCTGACGGCTGCGAACGATCGAGAATCCTCGCGATCCGCATTGCGCAAGCGGATTCCGAAATTTGGAGGAGGTGCGACGATACGCTCATGGAAATCAAACGAGCCGACGGGGCGAAGCGATCGCGCGCGTCGGAAATCGAACGGGCTGGCTGGCGATTGTGAATAATTCGTGCACCCTCCTCTCCTCGTTTTCGTCGAGCGTTCGAGCAACTCCGCGTTGTTGCACTCGGAGAACGTGCGTGCCGACGCTGCGCAATACCGCACAACGCGGCTAGTTTGTGTCACAACTGGAGCGATAATAAATTATTCCAGGTCATTACAGCGTAATATGTCGCCGCCGCGTTAACGCGCTCGATACAACACGCCGGATGTACGTATATAGCGCGCTGGCCAAAATTCCGAGAACTCGAGGGAAACGGAAAGGGAGATTCGCGAAATCAACTCGTCGGCCGGCCACGAGCCTCTCTCATCAAGTGAAAAGATTCTCCCATTTTTCCGGCCCTCGGCGACCGTTCCCTCGACCGCGAAATTTATAGAGCCTTGACAGAACAGCCGACTTATCGGCTCAAAACAATGTTTTGTGCCTTAAGTCTTTGTCTTTGAGCAGTCCCGGTCTGCAATAGGTGTTTTAAATTTTAAGAAATCGACCAATCATAATCGAATATGAGGAGAATAATCGGCGTAAAACACTGTTGTAGGCCGCACAATGACTGCCCAATAAGCGAGAAACGTTAAATCAATCTTTCGAAACATTGATTTTATGTAGATTTTGCAAACATTTTGATTAATATTTTATAAATGTTTTTAAACGTTTATTTGATAATACGATATAATTATTTAATATTAGGAATATTATTAATTCCTAAATATTAAATAATATGATAAAATGACATAATGCGATAAAAATAATATAACTTTCCTAAATATTTTATAACCATAGTGTAGAGAAATTTTTTTAATGCCTGAGTAAAATATTGTTAACAATATATATGATGTTGCATACAATATTAAGAAATACATATTTGAAAACGTTACATGTTACAAGATATCATTGTGATTACGTCGCTTTCTGGGCGTCTTGTGTTTTGAGCCTTAAAAGCTGTCCTCTTTGTAATTGATAACAATCCATCGTATAATATATAAAGAAGCAAGCAAACGATAATTTCCATATAAAGATTGAAAGCATAAAATATTGTCTTCAAATTATAGATCAGCCATTCTGCTGAGGCTCTAATTCGCTCGCGAAATCGAGCGGTGGTCGCGCAATCGAAACCTCGCCGCACCGATTCGTAGCCGAGGAGAAAGAAAGCGTTCACCCCGGACACCCGGTATACGTGCCTATCGGCCGATTAGCCCGTACGTGTTTGTCATCGTTTCGCGTTTAGCCAATTGCGCCCCTACAAGTGTACCGTTTTCTCTTCTCTCTCTCTCTCTCTCTCCAACTGCGAGACTCGGCCAGCATCTCGAGCGATTCGCGAGCGAATCGGGAGATTTTTGCTCGCCGATTGTGTTTCGAGACAGGTTGACGAATTCTTGAAAAAAAAAGAAAAGAAAACTACGGCCGCGGGCAACTCGAATGTCGCGCGTCGTTATGTAACGGCGCGCATATTTCCATTATTTGTACGAATCGTCTTCAATTATTAGCGACGGGGGATTACACGTATCGATTACTTAAAAAAAGATTATAATTGCTGAATCGATAACCCGGATAAACTGTTGACGGCCATCGTCATGCAGTTTCTGCCGGCGCTCGGTCAAAATATTCACCTCGCGCGAAAGTAATGAATCGTTAAAATGTGCGAAACTTCCACGATAAGCGCTTATCGAGCACACGCGCGATAGCCCACGCGGGATGCCGTGCGTGCGCGCGCGTAAGTTAATCGCGTTTCCTACCTACCTACCTACCTACCTTACCTCGCCTATGTACGTAGCGAAATCCCTCGCTAACGCAGCGTGGAAGGAAAGGAGGAAGAAAAAAAAACACGGGAGGAAGATTCTGCGACACGGCGGCTCGCTCGGCCTTTTACACACACCGAATATTCGCATCCTTCCTTTATTAAGTCTTCGCGAGGAAAGGGGAAAAAAAATCGATGACGTCGGAAGGACAGGGTGGATCAATATAAACTTGATCGCGTTAATGGGCTATCGGAAGTTTCTATTTCATTAGCACGTGGCGGCGCGCGCTCTTCCGACGTAAGAAAACATCTCTCGCCCCGGCGCAAATACTTATGTCACGAATGAAAGGTGTCTCTTGAGAAATTAGACAGAGCGTCGGCGGAGCGGCCGTCCGTACGAGAGGGTTGAATCGCGCCGCGTCTACAAAATGTCGATCCACCGACGACGATTTCCCGCTAATTCTCGAGATTGTTGCTTTTTCCCTTTCGCTGCGTTTTTCGAAATAGAACGCTATTTCCGTGGACCTGGCTCGCGATCAATCGCGGGTAATCCGAACGCGCGGTTAACAATCAATCGGGAGAAACATATTTCCAGCGCGGTCCGAATCTGAAATTTTGTATGTTTGACGTAACACCTTTCTTTCGCGTTTGTACGCGGGAAAGATGCTCTTGTTTCGGTAGAATTGGTCAGCAGCTTGGTGATAAAGCCAAAATCTTTTTGGTTCAATGGCGATATTGTTGAGACTGATACGTCATATATATTGTTTTAATAACTGTTAATATTAATTTTAAGGCAGCAGTAGCGCTGAGTGTTTTTAGCGGCGCATCGAGGAGGCCACTCGTAAATTTAATATTTATCAAGCAAGATTACGTTTCTGTACATTTATTTCACCACCTAAATAATGAATGTTAATTTGAAACGAGTTGAAGTAGACGTATAAACAAAATATTACAATTGTTGTTTTTTATTTTCTTACTATTTTTATGTATTAATTGATCTAATAGAGATGCACGGGTAATAGAAAGAGGTATGTAAGTGTTTAAATATGTGCATATACATGTATTTCGAATATTACTAAGTTATGAACTTTATATCGCTGGATTTTCCAAACAAAATAGTCGAATTCTGAAACTTTTGCATGAATATCTTTATATTATATCCTTAATATCAGTAGTTTTTATTACATTAATAATAACCACTACTAGCAGTAAGCTAGAAACAATAAACCACTAATAATAACTAACAATAACTATTAATATAAGTATTCGTTTTGATGAAAAGTTCTTCAACAAATATTGCTATCGAATCAGAGGAAGATTTACTCTAATTACGGCACCGTCGACCAATTCTATTGATGTAACTGCATTTCTTCCCCGTGTATTATACTCTCTAAGCGCGGAGATTGATCTCTACAATGGGAGTCAGAAGAGGATTTCATATCGTGTTTCTCGCCGGTTACGCAAATCGCTTTAAAGCCGATCCTCGCTCGGGGCTATTTCAGTACCTGTGGAAGCGACTGCAGTTCTGGGTGCCGTTGCTGGCTTCGTAGTCCTACTGCTGGCTCTCTTCCTCTACTTATCCCGGAAGTGGTGCTTCACGCCGCCCTCGTCCACCGCGCTCTTCGGCGGAGTCTGTGTGCCCCTCTGTGAGTCCACCAACAGCTCCACATCTCAAATCTCGAAAAACATAGGTACAGTGATTTATCTTCCGCCTTCCGTCCTTATCCCTGCGAAAATCTTGTAAACCGTCCGCCGATTTGTCAAGCGTGACTATCCGAAGAGAATGGAACTTCTCGGCGCGGAGGCGATTAATTAATCTTCGGTGATTCGCAACTTCGAGCTTGAATGAAAAATCACTTAAGTTTCGTCTTCGTCGATCCTGCGTCAGTTAATTCCAAATTTATCGGACAAATTGTTGCGAAGGAAGCAGCTTGAAAAGTACAATTTATCACGGTGGATTACTGCTTGTCTCAAATTTCCGGAACGTCGGTTTGGTGGCCCTTTGAGGTGCAAACGGATCGCAGTAATCAGCATATGTTCACCCGATAGGGAAGGCATTCTCCTACTCGGATCCAGAAACAAGCTCCGATTCAGAGGAAGACGCCCTACGACGATTGAATTCACGCGCGCATCCCCCGCCGGATACGCTGACTATTCAAGCGGAAGATGGACCAACCACCATTGTGGGTCAGTAACAGCGCGATAATATAGCTTAATCCCAGAATATTGTAAGAGAACAAGCGATAATATGTATAGGATGTCCCATTTTAATGGAAATAGTAGAATGCCCTGAAAATGAAGCAATTGACAAAGGAAGGTTTAGACAAAAGTTGTTTAGAGGGAGTCAGCGATCTTAACTTCGTTGTATAATCAATAATTCAGTCATTTCAAGGTCAATTTCATTTTTTTTTTTAAATCATATAGTTTTTTTAACACAAATCAATTCCTCTGTTCATTCTGCGTATAAAAATACGCAGGGAAAGATCATCGAAAAGTGAACACTTTTCGAGATACTTGACCTTATATTCAGGTATTTTCCAGCGTAAAATATGAAATATCTCATAAAGTATTCATTTTTCGATAACATCACTTCAACACTTTTCTACATAACTTTTTTACATAACTTTTTCGTCAATTTCTTCGTTTTCAAGATATTCTATCGTTTTTATTAAAATAAGATACTCTGTATAGACAATGAACGACGTGCGCAGTAACGCGATTTATTCTTCCTTATTCTTTGATTTGCTTAATTATTCCTTATTTTAAAAGTAACTCTAAAAATAAAGATATAATGATTTTCAGTTTGTACTCTAAGGGTAAATATTTGACATGCAATTTCCCTCGGGTTTGTTAATATATTTGTTGTTTACAGATGCTGGAACAACTTCCAGCAGCTGCACTGAGGAACACCCTCCAGCAGATCAACAACAGGTGATCTCTCGAATCTATTTGAGATAAATTTTCGAACTGCTTCAGAGAAACTCTCCAAGAATCAACAAGACAGTTTGGGGAATTTTATGATCGTCTAACCAAATAGCTCGTGTCAACTTTTCAAACTTTAATTAAAAATATAATTATAAAACCTTCGTTAGAAACTTTAGTTAAAAATATAACCATAAAATATAATCATAAAATGTGGAAATATTTTTTTAAACGAAAACTTTGAAACGGTACGACACAGCTGAGAGTATATGAGTTGTGTTTTTATTTGAGACATAGAATACCGCGATATTTTGTGGCGGGGGGGAAAAAAATTGAACTCATTGTTTCGCCTCGCCTTATTTTCGCAGTGCGTAGTGGAAGTCGGAGCTTCCGGCATTATACTCGACAGTAGGGAACAGGAAATAGAAGTTGAGCAAAATGAATCGACGACTAACGACGTCATCAGGACAATGGGCGCAACGACTACCGAGGAAATCGGCGGCCTGGAAGTCGCTTTCTTATACGACGCCCCGATGCGCGAGATGACAGTTCGTATATTTACTTCGCGCCGCTCAATCGCCGATTCCAATTCGCTCAATTCTCTCGCATCTCTCTGATGTCAATTCACCCCCCGACTAACCCATTATCTCCTCAGGTTCACGTGTTGCAAGGTCGAAACTATCCCCCGGGCATCGGCGGCAGTCAGGTACGGCTGGTTCTTTTGCCATCGAAGAAGCAGAGGCGTAAGACTCGAGTCCGCCAAGGAACCTCCCCGCAGTACATGGAGAGCTTCCTGCTCCCCCGTGTGAATCCGGAAGACGTGAACGCGATGGGGGTGCGGCTCAGAGTGTACCTCTGGGGCGGCAGGATGATGCGTCGGGAGAGATTGTTGGGCGAGGCCAGAGTGTCTTTCGATCGGATCAACCTCCAACTGGAGACCACTCTCTGGTTGACCCTTCAGCCGCCGCTTTCTTCCTCGGTAAAATAGATTCTTCCTCATTTCTTCATAGCCGGTGATCTGTAATGTGCCTTCTTTAACCCTCCGTTAGTCGCAATATCCAATAGATACACGTTCAGACTGCAACGTATCGCCGTTGCTGTACGGCCTCAAGGTCGAACTCGTCCTTGTCAATGTTTTCCCTTTCTTCTCTTTGTTCTTCACTTTGTCTTTTGTTTAATTTAGTGCCTGGTCTATTAACTAAGCTAATGAAAGAAAAATGTTTTCAAGAGGTAGAGGAAAATAATGCGAAAATTAGTGTATCTGTGAGATACATTGTGACCATTCATGGGTGAAAAATTTAACGGAGAATTATCGTATATACATATATATAATAATAATAATAATAATAATAATAATAATAATAATAATAATATAATCACACACATATACACACGTTATAAATATAATTTTCTCGTAGGGCAATACTTAACTATAATTAACTATAAATTAAGAGTAAAACTAATAGGGAATTGAACAAATCCCAAATAAATTTAAAAATATATTATAAAAATTATAATATATAATAGTTATTTACCATATATAATGCTTACACTATACACACACTATATGATAAATCAAATATATTTCCGCAAGACTATCCATCTTTGTCTGAATTAGCGTATTATACGATGAATCGTATAAGCGTTTTGCAATCATATCATGTTTCTAGGCACAAGATTGGGGAACCACTAGCAGTCTCACTCGCAGCGACTCCACGGGATCTCAACAGTCAGTCCAGTCGTACGCCTCACCTGCCGTACCACCTTACGGCAGTAGCATGAAGGGCGGCAGCGTCGCGGAGATTCTAATCGGTCTGGCATACAACGGCACGACGGGCCGCTTGTCGGTGGAGATAATCAAAGGTTCCCATTTCCGTGGCGGGGGCGGAAACGACACGAAACCACCTGATACCTACGTGAAGCTAGCCCTGGTCGACAGTAACGGCCACGAGATGGGCCGGTCGAAGACCGGACTGAAGCGTGCCCAGCCAAATCCTCTCTACAAGGAGACTTTCATATTTCAGGTAACAATCCTACACTCTCGCTCGCTCGTAGAAGTCCGTCAAGCTTTCGAGCTTTATTGGGTTGATGCAAAAGTTTGTCTCGTTGTTTTATCGGTTCTTTTCTCGGAGATCCCAGGATTTCTACGACTGCAGGGGAAGTGGCAGGAACGACGCATTAGAATTTTAGCAGGCTTTTAAGAGCAAAACATGAGCGTCATAATGTCATTGGAATATTAATATTGTCAACATTAATATATTGCCTACAGGAGGGTGAAATTATTCAGCGTAATAACATAATAAGTGGAATCAAAAGTTGCTTCTAATTAATTTAACAATTGGACACGAAGGTTTCTCAGAGAAATTGAATTTACGACAGTTTTATCCTCCCACAAATAACATTAATAGTGACAATATTAATATTCTAATGGCGCTACAAACAAGCGTACTTCGCTCCTAAAGGCCCGTTGAAACGTTTCTTGACTGATTGCACTTACAATTAAAGAAACGTATCGTACATTTTGCTGAAAAAACGGAAAGGACTTTTACGTTAAGCCAATAGATATTAGCGACTGTGGTCCTTAAAGGGTTCTACACCGAGTCTCTTTCGCACGGACGCAGGTCGCCTTGTTCCAGCTGGGGGACGTCACGCTCTTCTTGTCCGTGTATAATCGCCGGCGGGGCGGGATGGGCAGGAAGGGACGGGAGATGATCGGCTGGCTCTGCCTCGGTCTGAACAGCTCCGGGTCCGAGGAGCTGCAGCATTGGAACGACATGCGGACGGCGAGGCAGCCGACGCAGGTGCAACGCTGGCATTCGCTGCTGCGCCCTTGAAGCGGCCGCGAGCGACCGCCTGCCACGGATTGATGACTTCTCGCAGCGGCAGCGGCTCGAGCGGATTATTTGAGCCTCGGCGGCTCTCGCCGAGGGAAAGCGAGCGACGGACGCGCGTCCTCGGAAGGAACAACCGGGCTTGTCTCGAGAGGGATCTCGACTACTTTCTCCTTACTTCGCGGAGACACTGCGTACTGCCCGGTCGAACAACAACGGAAGTCAATACTCTCTCCAGTCGATTTGTCGGTCGCAAGTCGGATCCCGAACAACGCAAGTGTCCAACCACGACGTCTCTCACCGAGAGACGCGTGACCTCTTGGGTGTGTCCGTCGGTCAGACGAGCATGTAACGCCACCGTCTGATCGTATATATCGTAAGGACCATCCGAGGGACGTCCCGATCTCCGATGTTGTCGAGCGTCTAACCGATATCACGTCCTCTCGCTGATGTCGCGCGCTAACTTCTCACACGTCCGTCGGACGGGGAGACACGAATGTGTCTGTTAACGTCGCAGAGACGTCCGGGCGGCGTCCTCAACGGTATCTCTGAGATACGTCCGTTCAATGAAGGATCGAGCGGCGTCGCGGATGCGTCCGAAAGACGATCTTCTCGGCCGTTGAGCGTCCCGGCGTCGTCGAGACGGAGGGCAAGCAATCTCCGCGCCGAGGGACGTCTTCGACGTCCTCCTCTTCGAGGTTCCTCGGGCTTTTGCTTTCTGTTGTTCGGGATGCTGCTTTGGGACGTTGTAAATCTCTGAGTTGCAAACTCTCTCGTCTAAATGTACCAAGTACATTCCCTTTTTGATACGCTGGTGGGAGCAGAGCGGGGTGGGTTGTCTTCGATGTCGAGGGTCCGGACGATCGCGTGACGCGACCGGCTCGGCACCCAACTTCATCGTGCCCGTCCCGTCACGCGACGGTACGACGCTCTCCTCGACTCGACATGTGCCTGAGCCAATCTGAACCGTTTATTCTTTACTTTGTGCCTTTCACCCTTTTTAGGCTGCGCGCGCCGAACGGAGAACCGTCACGGAGCGTAATTCGAGCCGGCCGGCGAACTCGTCGACCGAGACGGATTTCATTCTCTCCACCTCACCGTACTCTGTAAGATGCCGCAAGGGTGGCCGCCGGAGGAATCGCGAGTCTCTCTCTGTCGCGACCCGGCGAGTCCGGCGAAACTGGCTCAACTCGATTTGCGCGGTCAATCGAAGGTGACTTCGTGTTCGCACTCGCGGCGAACTACGGGAGCTCGGTGTCTCCGTTGCGAGATTCGTGCGTCCGCTCTTACAGATGGGATTATACACCGACACAGTGAATTGCCATCGGGCGATCGCGTCTGTTGTTTTGCGGAACAATAACGAAATTGTTGAGACGCCCCGACTTGCCGTGCTTCTTCTCCTCGTTTTTTCTCGGTCGCCTCGAGCGCCCTTCTAAGCGAATGCGCGAGTTCATATGATCGCGGCAACAAGCGCATTCGATGTCTTGCTTTCTTGTATCCGCGGCCTTATTGAGACTCCTGTTTCCTCGCCGCATCCGTTTTGATTATTTGACGGTGTCAGGATGGAGAAAACGTCCGAAATTCTGACGGGATCAAATTCTTACGGAAGTAAAATGGATGGTGTCCGTAAGATGGCGCGTTTATAAAACATTCCGATAACGTTTCTTCCACTTTAACAATCGACGAATAGGCGTAAATTAAAAAATCATGAGAAAAGTAAGACATTCGATTTCACTTAACGTTGATTAAACCTTCTGAATTTAATTCTCTTCGGATAAAGATTCGAGGATGTTGTCAGGAGAAATAAGTTTGATGAGAATTCGATGAAACTTGCATTATACGTGTGCGTTAAAATGTCAAACTGCTCGTGCGATTAGAAAAAGATTGACCATTTGAGAGCTGAGGTATTTGTAATTCAAGTTGACACATTTTATACGTATTCCTTGAGATTATCGCGCTATTTTTGATTTTGATTTTTAATACTTTCTAAACTAAAAATAAGATTTTGTCGAAAAAGTATTATGATATTAAAGATTAATACGTAGATTATTTCTGTACACAAATTTAAAAATTATTGACCGTTTCATTTTGGAAAAATACAACGGTGTAAAGTTCATAACTTATAGTAATGTTAAAAAAAAATATATATATAATATATAATATAATAATTATATATATAAAAATATATATATATTAAAAGTCATCAAGCGAAACGACTTCAGTGAGGGAGCAGGAGCTTTAATTTCCATTGCAAAGTAACTTCAGCTAGCCCGAGCTTCAATCGAGCGTGAACTTCCCCGGGGGACGTTAACCATTACTCCGCAGTCGCGAAGAACACGCCCTCACCTTGGATTTATCATTTTCGTCCGCAAAATTCGCGATAAACGCATCGTCGCTATTGTGGACGCGCGCGCTGTCCGAGTATCTCGGCAACGCCGTTGTTGTTCTTCAAGTTGTGAATCATCGCTATTACTGTGTCGTTGTAGCGTCAAGTATTGATCCATCTTATAGTACATCCGACGGATACTCGATCTGCTTGTGCTTGTTCACACGAATCGATATTACGAATATTACGGGGCCCGTGTTCTCGCCGCGCGCGCATTTAACGCACGACTATCCGATTCCCATCGCTGGTATCGGTGTCCACAACATTATACTCGATATATCGCGTTAGCTGGTATCCAGACAAAGACCTGAACGGAGCACGAGTGCCTCGACAGCCGACTTTAGACGGAGCTCGAGGAGTGACGACCGCCGATCAAGCCGGCGAACTTCGTGAAACAACGTGGCGATTCATCGCTATTCTTCGCGATTTCTTTCGACGATGAGTCGACGGTATCGGCTAAGTAATAATACAATTGCATTGTCTTTCGACCAATACTGGGGGGGGGGG